ATATACCACTAAAAGAGTTAGAGGAAAATAAACAATCATCAATATTTTTTGTTTTAACTGTTTTAGAGGTGTCAATCACTACTTACAAGCTTCTAAATAAAAATAATACAAAAATGTCATTAAAAAAAATCAACAACTGAAGTTAGAAAATATCTCATTTTTAAAACCCTAAAGTAAAATAGTAGAAAAAAAAACTAAATAAAAACTCTTAAACAGAAACAAATATACAAATAGAACAAACAAAAAATAGAAACAAAAAACATCAATTTCAAGCATGAATTTCTATCACACTTAGTCTGGTTCTTAAGATGCTGAATGTTTCAAAGGTCAGTGATTTTGTAAAGATATAAGCAAATTGATTTTAGTGGCTACATAGTGTAGCTCTATTTCTATTTTGGTAACATGGTCCATAATGAAATGGTGTCTTATGTCTATGTATTTTGTCCTGGAGTGTTGGATTGGATTCTTTAAAATACAGATGGCATTAGTGTTATTACATAAGATTTGAATGGTGCCTATAGGTAATCCTAAATCCAATGTTTATTTCTTTAACCAAAGAACTTGGGCCACACAACTTCCTAAGGCTACGTATTCAATTTCAGTAGTGGATAGGGCAGTTGAGTTTTGTTTTCTATTAGACTAGGAGAAAAAGGATTGTCCTATGAATTGACATTTTTCAGAAGTTCTTTTCCTATCAACTCTGTATCCTATAAAATTTGAATCAGAATATCCTATGATTTTAAAGGAAGTGCTATGCCAGGATACTAGATTCCTAAGTTTAGGGTTCCTAAGAGATATCTAAGGATTCTCTATGCAGCTGTCATGTTGGACACTTTTGGATCAGTCTAAAATTTAGTACAAAAATAAACACTAAATATAATATCGGGTCTAGTAGTAGTCAAGTAAAGAAGTGATCTAATTATTCCTCTGTATTTCTTTTGATTAACTAATTTTTAATTGAATCCTTATCTAACGGAATAGTGGAACTCATGGGAGTATTTCTTGGCTTGGCTTTATCCATTTCATATTTTTTAAGGATGTCCTTAATATATTTTGATTGACTAAGAAAAATTCTATCATCCTTTTTCCTTATACTAAATCTAAGAAAGTAGGTCAGTTCTCTCATCATACTTATCTCAAACTCCTTACTCATTATTTTTGAAAATTCATCACATAGATATTTATCAGAAGATCTAAATAGAATATAATCAATATAAATTTGGACAATGAGTATTTCATCTCTTACCTTTTTAAAAAATAGGGTGGTGACAACGCTCCCCTTAATAAAGGTTCTCTCTAGTATGGATGAGCTTAGTCTTTCATACTAAGCTATGGGTGCTTATTTTAGTCAATATAATACCTTTTTTAATTTGAACACATGATTAGAAAATTAAAAATTTTTAAACCCTGGGGGTTGTTGAACATACTCATCTTTTTTTATTACCTCATTCAGAAAGGTACTTTTGGCATCCATTTGGTATAGTTTAAAACATTTAAAGCAAGCAAAGTCTAGTTGCACCCTAATGGCTTTCAATCTAGCTATAGGGTCAAAGGTCTCTTCAAAGTTAATCATTTCTATCTATTTTACCCCTTAGCCACTAATCTTGCTTTATTTCTAATTACAACACAAGAATAATTAATTTTGTTTTGAAAAACTATTTAGTTCCAACTACACTCTGGTTCTTAAGTATTTCAACATGTCCCAAACATTGTTCCTCACAAATTGATTTAACTCTTCTTGCATGGCTAGGATCCAAAATTTATCAGATAAGGCTTGATTTATATTGGTGGGTTCAGTCATTGAGATAAAGATATAGTGGTTTACTTCAAATGGGTTTCCTAAAACCAGTTCTTTAGGATAACTTGAAGAATATCACCATTCTCTAGGCAGTGAATTTTTAAGTTCTACCCTTTCCTTTAAATTTATAGATTTTACTCCTTAGATGATTTCTATAACTTCTTCTTTTTTTTTCCTTCTACCCTAGACCCTCTAAAATTATCAGATTCAAATACAATATGAGTGGTTTCCTCTACCAACAGTGTCCTTTTATTAAAAACTCCAAAGGATTTTCTAACATTTGAGTACCCTAGGAACACTCCATCAGATTTGGGGTCAAGCTTTTCTAGTAGAGATTTCTTATTATTTAGAATGAATAGTTTATATCGAAAGACATGAAGGTGAGAGAGGTTGGGTGTCCTACCCCTAAGAATTTTATAGGGCATCTTATTTAGCTTGTATCTAATATTAACCATATTCAGAACATAATATGTTATATTCACCGCTTCTACCCAGAAGTATTTAGGAAGTGGGTATTTAGCTAACATGGCTCTACCGACTTCTACCTGGGTCCTATTATTTCTTTCAGCAACCCCATTCTGATAAGAGGTCCTAAGAGCTAAAAGATTTTGATCTATCCCTTTCTCCTTATAGTAAGATTCAAATTTCTAATTCTCAAATTCTACATCATGATAATTATGAATTGTTAGAATTTCATAACCTAGCTTCCTAAAAATCCAAGTGTGTAATGTCCTAAATTTCTTGAATGATTCACTATTATGAGATAGGAATCTAACCCAAGTAAACCTCAAGTAATCATCAATAATCACATATCCAAATACTTTCCATCCTAAGCTTGCAGTACTAAAAGGTTAAAAAAAATCCATTTGGGGGATTCTAATGAGATAAGTTGCGGGATTCTAGTGAGAGAAGATGATTTTCAAAAAATTATTTTGCGGTGGAGAAATTGTGGCCAATGGCGACGGATGATCACCGGTTAAATTCCGGCGATTATCCTAGTGGAGCTTGTCGTTCTTCTGCTGATATGCAAAAATGATTTCTGAATAATGAATCTCCCCCTGTGTTCGGAGATTCAAATTCAAGAATCATCTCAAAGACTGGAAACAATGGAGCATGGCTTTCTTCCATTTATACAAAATCATTGGTGATTAATGAAGGAGGACTAACGAATGCAAAACCTTGATCGGTGATTGGAAAAGGTAAAGGAATCTTAATCTCTGAAGATGTTACAAAGAGCCCAAAGTCACTCATATTTTAGAATTTTATCACGTCTGTGTTGACGGATACATTGGAAGATGGTTTGAAAGATGCTGGAATTCAGGAGAATTCAAATAAAGACATTAATTGCAATAACAAAGTTAGGAATGAGAAGTCTGCAAAAAAGGAAGATTTGAACAGGGCTTGTATTTGTGATTTAGCTGTAAGAGGTCCTGCTATTACAGATGTTACTGAAGCTGTAGGTTCTTCTACTAAAGAGCCAACTGGGAATACCTTACTGAATGCTTGGCAAAAGAAATCCCATAAAAGAATTTTTTATTCAGATTGGGACTTTGGGAATTATCTTTCTGAAGATGGAATGAGGGTTTAGTTGTATGAAGAAAAGGTGTCGTAGAACACCAAAGCATTATAGAAGGCATTGGTGGTTAATGTTTTTGGTGAAAATATATCATATTTCATTGTGAATACTGAACTGAAAAGACAATGGTCTCAAATTGGCAAGTTCAATTTAACTTGGCTTGGCAATGGATGGTGCTTGTGTTTATTTGAAAATGAGGAAGTTGTGGAATCTATTCTTGCTAATGGGCCCTGGTATGTGAAGGGGAACATTATTGGTGTGGATAAGTGGAGCCAATCATTCTCTCCAAATTCTTTGAAAGGTTTGACAGCACCTATATGGTTAAGAATACCAAACTTGCCACTTCATTATTGGGATACTATAAATGTTTGTAGGATTGCCTCAAAGGTTGGAAAACCTTATTTATTAGATGAAAATATGTTTGAATGGGGGAGACATGAATTTGCAAAAATTTGTGTTCACATCAAACTTGAAGAATCTTTGCCACTTGGAGTTTGGGTAGAGGGAAGATTCAAAAAAATTTATCAAAAAATCGAACATGAGAGGGTTTCCAACATTTGTTTTGTTTGAGGTAAGATTTGTCATGACCAAATCAATTTCCATGAGAAGGTTGTTGTGATGTAATCAAAAATTTCAGGTGAGAATGACTACTATGTCAAGGATCCATGTGTCATTTTGATTAAAGAAAAAATGTTGGCAGCTGATACAGATGAAGGCAGTGGCTATAGACCTTGGATTCATGTCAGCTATGGAAGGAAAAATTTAAATGTGAATGGTTTTCATAGAAAGAAGATTGGTGTTGACAGAACTTCAAGAAAAAATAATTTTAATCAGTGGACAAGGAAGTAATTCAGGAAGAAGAATATTAATGATGTTGGAACTGCTTAAGAAGAAGGGGGAGTAGAATCTGTTGATAAGATGGTTTCTAAACAATATACAGATAATTCTCTAAAAATTATAAAGTATGAAGTAATTACTGAAATAATTCCAAAGGCAAACAAATTTTTTGTACTCAGTAATTTGGTGGAGGAAGAGGTAATGCAAACAGTTGAAAATGGCAAGGATGGGACTGCAGCTAAGGAAGGAAAAGGGGAGACAGAAGCAGTTAAACCTTCTTCATTTGTAAAGGTTGATAAAGGAGGTTGTTCTCCCAAGGAATGGGTTGGGAATGAGAAATAAGAGTTGAATGAAGGAGGTTCTTCCAACATCAGGATGAAGCTAGCCAAGGAGCTTAGATGTCTTGGTCCTATAAAGTTATTGCCGAGAGGAAGGAAATTGGAAAATGAGTTGAAGGAGAAAAAGAGGAGTTGTTCCTTTTTTATCCCATAAATGGCTTCAATCACATTTTGGAATTGTATAGGAGCTAGAAAAAAACAGGATTCTCTATATTTGAAGGAGGTGGTGAAAGATAAAAAAGTGTTTTTTGTGGGGCTTTTGGAAATAAAAGTCTCAAACTTTAGCAAACCTAAAATTGACAACCTTATTAGCAATGAATTGGATTTTGTTCAAGTAACTGCTGTAGGTTTATCTGGAGGAATTTTGGTATTATGAAAGATCAAATTAGCATCCTTTACTTGCTTATTTTCTTCAAATCTAGTATTTATAGGGGATCTTGAAATCATGAAGATGGGGAAGTGGAGAATAGCCACAGTTTATGGTGGTAGAGAATTGGCTCACAGAAGGCTTCTTTGGGAAAAGCTGGAGGAATATGGTTCTAATAGTAATCCCTTAATAGTTGGGGATGATGTTAATTATATTTTGGCTAAGGAAGACAAGAGAGGAGGAAGACCATTTTGGTTTTCTCAAGGGGCTAGAGAAATGAGCTCATTCTTAGCAAGATGTGACCTTCATGAAGTAAATATTGTTGGACCAAGGTTCACTTGGTGCAATAACAAAAATGGAAATGCTAGAATCTTGAAGAGGTTGGATAGATGCTATGTTAATCCATTTTCACTAAAGAACAAACGGTTTTTGGTGAGGAATTTATCAAGGGTTGCAACAGACCATTGCCCAATCCTATTAAACTTCTTGGAAGTAAACTTTGCATCAGACAAAATCATAAGGTTTGAGGAAGTTTGGGCTTCATATCCAACTTCAGTTGGAGTGGTAAAAGCAGCTTGGGGCAAGAAGACAAGTGGAGATTAAGCTAAAGTGTTGAATTATAAATTTCAAAGAACTCTTAAGGCTCTATTTTACTAGAGTAGAGATAAATTCAAACAATTTGATCAACAAAGAGTATTCCTGAAGTCAAAAATTCTGGAATTACATACTAAAGAATCGGAGGTTGGATGGCTGACAAAAGAGGAATTTATCATCCTTCGGTCACATATTGGAGAATTGAATATAGTTCTGGCTCGGATGAACACATGGTGGAAGCAAAGAACGAAGGTAAGGTGGATGAAGGCGATAGACACTAATTCTAGCTTCTTTCACTCTTATGCATCAGTAAGAAATAATTCAAACTGCATTTATAATTTAAAAAAGAAGATGGATCCATTACTGAAGATCAGAATCAGATTTATGAAATTTTTCTAAAATTTTTCAATGGGAAATGGAAAAAAAGAGAAGGATATCTGGATGGCTGGCCTTGTCCCAATAAGTTGATTGATAAGGAGGATAGAGAATGGTTAATCAGAGAGCTTTTTGTGGAAGAATTGGAAATGGTAGTATTACAAACAATTGACAACATAGCTCTTGGAAATGATGGGGTTTCTTACTCCATGAAATCATATTGGAACATAATAAAAAAGGATTGTTGGTATGCGGTTAACCAGTTCTTTAATATGGGAAGATTGAATGTAGAATGGAAAGAGACACTTCTGGTTCTCATTCCAAAGGTTGTGGTACCTACAATTCCAAGCCATTATAGACCTATTAGTTTTTTTAGGTCTATTTACAAGGTGGTAGAAAGAATTTTTTTGAATAGAATGAAACTGATGATTCAAAAAGTGGTGTCGGTGGAGCAAGCTGCATTTATCAACAGAAGATCTTTGGGGGATCATATTCTAGTGGCACGGGAAGCTTTTTAGAAACTTAGGAGTTCAAGATCATCAAAAGGTTTGGTTTCATTTAAAGTTCATTTGGAATAAGCTTATGATAGCATGAGTTGGAATACTCTAAAAAGTATTTTACAATACTTTGGGTTTCCAGAGAAATTCTCTAGATGGATATGGAATGTGTGGAATTTTTGAGATTCTCTTTACTCATTAAAGGTAAGATTTCTAGCTGGATTCATGCTGACAGTGGATTTCGACAAGGGTGCCCTCTTTCACTCTATCTATTCATTTTATGTGCTCAGCTATTTACAAATCGATTCAAGTAAAATGAGGCAGCAATGGGTATCCAAATTGGTAGGAATTTGCCCAAAGGTTTCACATCTTTTATATGTAGACAACATCATTATCTTTTCACATGCTAATGTCAAAGAAGTTAGAGAAATCAAAGAGGCAATTATGGATTTCTGTAGCTGGACAAAGCAGAAGTTCAATTTTGAAAAATCAATCATGTTGTTCAGTAGACATGTTAAGAGAAGGAAGAGAAAAGTTGATGAAAGAATAATGGGCTTTAAAGGGGCTAAAGAATTCATGTATCTAGGAGTTAAAATGGCATTGAGAAGATTAAAAGCTGCAGACTTTCATTTCATTGCAGAGAAGGCTATGAAGCTCACGGCGGTATGGGGTAGCAAACTACTTTCTCTGGCAGGTAAAATGTTGCTGATCAGAATGACTCTGCTCTCTATTTTAAATTTTTACTTCACTTATTCATTAGTTCCAAAGATCATTCTTAAAGAATAAGAAAAATATTGCCATCAGTTTATTTGGAATAAACAAGATGGGAAATTGGGTTTGCATTTTGTTAACTGGAACAAATTGTGTAAACCAATGGACCTAGGTGGCAGAGGAATTTGATCATGTGTGGATAATGTGGATTCTTTAAGAGCAAAGTTATCTTGGAGATTCATCCAAGAGAAGGATTCGTTGATGTATCAAATTTTAAATCAAAAGTATGGTAAGTGGCGGGAAGATTCAGTGACTAGTGGTGGAACATCTACAACGTGTAAAATTTTATCAAGCGGTAAGAAGGCTCTAAAATCAGTTGTAAAATGGGAAGTTGCAAATGGCTGTTCTATCAGCATCATTGAGGAAATTTGGATTATGGACAGAAAATTGAGCTTATGGCCAACATTTGTATCAATTTAAGACGCAGAGGAGGAAACACTGGATTGCTTGATTTCTAATGATGAATGGAATGTGATGAAACTTAAACATCTATTTTGGGAGGATCTTATAAAGATCATTTTGCTGATAGAGATTCATATAGATCAAGACACTGATTACCTAGAGCTAATCCACTAGATTTGGGATGTACAATATCATCATTGGTATATAGAAGTTCATTGATGCAGGAGCAGGAATGCATGTTTTGGCGATGCTTGAAAAATACCAAATTAAGATCCCGTGTTGATGTCTTTTGGTGGAGGTTGTTTAACAATGCAATACCTACATAAGATTTCTTGTATCATAGAAGACTCTAGGAGAATTATAGCTGTCCAAGAGGCCATACAGAAAATGTTGATCATATCATGGTGAGCTGTGAAAAATTCCAGGAAGTCATTAACTACCTGAACAAATGTGGGTTTCAACTCCAGAATTTTGATTCATTTCAATCATACTGGAGATGGATGGAAGAGAGTCAAAGTACACAAGGATTCATGGTGAACGTTTACTGCAATGCTATATATCTTACATGGAAATCCAGGAATAAACTGATTCATAGTGAAAAAGAAGATCGTTCGGTGTTCTTAGCTTCTTATGCAGTAAGTATGGCCTCGTTTTCTTTATGGCTGAAGTAAAAATGGGACACTGGGAAATAATCAGTCTTCTAGACTGTCATATCGTTGGTACCCTCCTCCTCCCTATTGGATAAAGATTAATGTAGATGCATCTCTATTAAAAACTTATAAGGCTGGTACTGGTGGTATTGTTCGAGATAGTAAAGGAAGATTGATTTTAGCTTACGGTAAGTCTTGTATATATTGGGACATTTCTACTCTTAATCTATTCTCGATCTAATTTATAATTGAGATCAAGAAGGATTGGTTACAAGTTTATCAAGGAGTAATTATAGAGGGCGAAAACTATAATGTTATAAAGTATTTGCAAGGTTTGGGAGGCAAGTGGAATGATGAACTGTTATAGTTGAAGGACCTTAAGTTTGTTTTATTTAATTGGGTAAATAGAGGATGCAATAAGCTAGCAAATCTTTTGCTAGCTATGCCATTTGTAGTGATTTTTGTTGGGAGGATTTATCCTCTAATAAGATTCCTTCCTTGTTCTATAATTTGTTAAAGGAGGGATGAATTGAGAGGTGTTAGTAGTTTGTAATTTGTTTGCTTTGAGTAATAAAAATTTTGCTTTAAGCTTCTTTAAAAAAAGGACTTCTAAAGGTTTGCTTTTTTTTTTTTTTTTAAGAAGATGCACTAAGCAATATTATTAATCAAGAAAAAAAAATAGAGAGTTCCAAATAGAGTAAAGACTATAACATTCCTCCTTCAACACTTTGTAGAAGATAGGAGGAACGTTATTGGTAACCAAATTATCCCAAAAAAATTCACCAAACCCAGCAAGTTTAGCACAACAATCGGCCAACTTATTATAACTTCTAATCACATATTGAATAATAACTTGATTGAAATTTCTAAGAAAGAAAAAATCAAGAATTTTGGGATTGTTACCTTCAGTTAAACCTTCATTTAAGATCTTCTGGATATGCTTCATAACATTGTAGTTATCTCCTTCAATAATGATTCCTTTAGCAACATGCATCCATTCTTGAACTACCTTCTTTAAAGCCAATAAAGCTTCCATCTCTAGAGCCGAGATATCCCAATGTGTACGTTTGAAACCAAAGGCAAACAAAATTCTACCTTTTCTATCTCTAATTACACCTCCAATGCCAGCATTATAATTTTTGCCAATATAAGCATCCACATTGAGTTTGATCCATTCGGTTGGAGGGGGTTTCCAAGTGATTAGAAATAGTAATTTCTGATTAGAAACCCATTTTACCGAAATAAGATCATGGCTGAAAGATAATGAAGCAAACCTGATAGCATTGGCTGCAATAATATGTAGACTATCTTCTTTGACCCTATGAACAAGCTTATTCCTACTTTTCCATGAGAAGAAAACAACAGAATAGTACAAATTGCCCATGAATTGATTTAATTTAGAGAATTCAAAAAGCCGTTTGAAACAATTATCCAGATATGATAAAACAGGGATATCATATCCCCATTTATTAATAATGTTGATGACTTCTTTAAGGAAAAAATAGTGAACTGCTAAGTGGTCGGCATCCTCCACAGCACAACATCCTCTTGGGCAGCCATTATGATTGATAATTCTTCTATACATTAAGAACACATTAGAAGGGATTGCTTTGTGGATCAATCTCCACCAGAAAATTCTCACTCTTGGTCTCAATTTCAAATTTTTTAACCATCTCCAACTAACATCCTCTTCTTCAAGAATGCTGTTTTGATCTGAAATCAAAGCTGCTAGAGACTTCCCATAATTCTTGTATAATATTTCCACTTCATCTCTTTGAATACCAGCATTGATAGGGACCGATGAAATTAATTCAACCATCTCCTTACCAAAAGCTTGATTTAGTTTTAGAATGTTCCAGCTACCTTCATGTATGAAGAACTTCAAACTACATTGATCTTCATGTAAATTATTAACAAATGTAGGCCATTTATCAATACACTTATCAAGGATCCAAATATCCTTAGTAGTGTTAATGCTCTAACCATCAGATACCTTTCATCTAATAATTTGCTGGAGAAGTTTACCTCCATTATTAATGATTTTCCAAGTAGGAGAACTCCCACACATTGTTTCAGAATATCTGAATTTTCTTCCATACCTAGCAATTAGGATTCTATTCAACAAAGAAATTGGATTAGATAACAAACTCCAAGAAAATTTGGCTCTCCAAGAACCAACTTTGTCAGGTACTGACATGACTCCTTGCCCTCAAAACTTAATCTATTTACATAGAATTTTCCACTCCACATAATGAATGCCACTGCTCTTATCTCACTTTGTCCAAAGAAAATTTCTATACATCTTATCTAGATC